CTTGTAGAAAACGGGTTCGAGCAGTGCAAGGCTGACCCGTGCGTCTTCCGCAAGATGAAAGACGATGTCGTGGTGATGATTATCGTGATTTATGTGGATGACATTTTGGTGGCTGGGTCTGATGATGATTGCAAGGAGTTGCTTGATTCCATCAACAAGGCATTCCCCACCAAAGACCTTGGAGAGTGCGTGTGATTCGACGAGTGTGCCGTCGAGAGAGACCCAGAGGCTGGGACCCTTAGAATCTCCCAAACCGCGTACATTGACAGCATCGTGAATCGCTTTGATGTGCAGTCGACCTCCTCCATCCCTGCTTCCCCTGGTGTCGATATAGGACCGAAGCGGGATGACGAGAGTGGAGGGGAATGGCCGGTGAGGGAGGCCATCGGCAGCATGATGTGGGTGTCGACGTTCTCGCGCCCGGACATCTCGTTCGCCGTGCGTGCGGTAGCGCGCCATGCCCATGCCCCTGCCGAGAGGCACTGGAAGGCGATCGTGAAGATCCTCGCCTACCTCAAAGAGACGAGGGACCTCGGGATCACCTACGAACGGGGATCGGGGTTGGGGCTGGCGGTGTACGTGGACGCTAGCTACGCCGACGCTGAGGATAGGCGTTCGGTGTCAGGGCTGGCAACAACGGTTGGAGGGACCGTCATCAGCCACGGTAGCAAGACGCAAGCTATCGTATCTTTGTCGTCTACGGAGGCAGAGTACATTGCTGCCGGGGAGGGTGTGAAGGAAGCTTTGTTTGTGCGTGCAGTGCTTTCGTTTATTGCCCCAGAGACCAGGGGCAGCAGCATTCAGGTCCTTCAGGACAATCAGGGGGCTATGGCTTTGGTGCAGAACCCCCTTACTTAACTCAGCGCGTAGCAAGCACATCGACGTGCGGTACCACTTCATTCGTGGATTGTTTAGGTCGGGGGAAATCTCGATCAAGTTTGTGTCGACGTCGGAGCAGCATGCCGATATGCTTACCAAGGCTCTTAGCAAGAGCAGTCTGCAGTACCACCGGCGCAAGTTGATGAATTTGCCGGTGTAGCTAG